GCCCTAAGAGTCTAGTTTTGAGTCTGAAATTTGGCGCCTCAAAACTAGACAAGGATAGCACTGAGGGAAGATATCTTGGGGAAGAACACACACTCGGCCATGCAGATGAAAACTGGCGTTAAGAGTACGAGCGTTTAGGCACACACCTTTTGACGTGCCTCAAAAGTCGGCCATGCGGTTGAAAACTGGCGTTAAGAGTACGAGCGTGAGGCACACACCTGAAACTCTGACAGTGCACGCTTGTCTTCGTCGTCTTTCTCCTTTTCGTCCTCCCTCTTCTTCTGCAAGCCACAAAAAATACAGTTTTCAGGTCAAATTGGTAGCGCAGTTTCATTTGCACAGGTTGCATGTGCTTCTCCTTCTCGTCCTCCCTCTTCTTCTGCAAGCCACATGAAAGGCCATTTTCACATGAAAGGTCATTTTCACATGAAAGGTCATTTTCACATGAAAGGTCATTTTCACATGAAAGGTCATTTTCACATGAAAGGTCATTTTCACATGAAAGGTCATTTTCACATGAAAGGTCATTTTCACATGAAAGGCCATTTTCACATGAAAGGTCATTTTCACATGAAAGGTCATTTTCACATGAAAGGTCATTTTCACATGAAAGGTCATTTTCACATGAAAGGTCATTTTCACATGAAAGGCCATTTTCACATGAAAGGTCATTTTCACATGAAAGGTCATTTTCACATGAAAGGTCATTTTCACATGAAAGGTCATTTTCACATGAAAGGTCATTTTCACATGAAAGGTCATTTTCACATGAAAGGTCATTTTCACAAGTCAATTCAGAAGCGCACTTTCATTTGCACAGGTTGCATGTGCTTCTCCTTCTCAATCTCCCCTGTGCAGGCCTTCTGACAGTCGCTTTATGAACACCCATGTAGCTGCGTCCAGACGCAGGACGCAGCGTCCTCTGAGCGTCTTTCGCATCTCCCCTGTGCAGGCCTTCTGACAGTCGCTTTATCAACACCCATGTAGCTGCGTCCAGTGCAGGACGCAGCGTCCTCTGAGCGTCTTTCGCATCTCCCCTGTGCAGGCCTTCTGACAGTCGCTTTATCAACACCCATGTAGCTGTGGAGTTACCTCCAATACGGCTGTGGTGTGGTGTGGTGTTGCACTGACTGAACTGCGCCAACGAACTCACGAATCTGTGAGACAGCAGACAGCACCTATCTGCTGCTCTGCTCTGCGGTTCTGATGGGTTCAATTGAATCATTGACTGGCCTATTCTGCGGTTCTGATGGGTTCAATTGAATCACTGACTGACCTATTCTGCGGTTCTGATGGGTTCAATTGAATCACTGACTGACCTATTCTGCGGTTCTGATGGGTTCAATTGAATCACTGACTGACCTATTCTGCGGTTCTGATGGGTTCAATTGAATCACTGACTGACCTATTCTGCGGTTCTGATGGGTTCAATTGAATCTCTGACTGTCCTACTCTGCGGTTCTCATGGGTTCAATTGAATCTCTGACTGACCTACACTGAGGTTCTGATGGGTTCATATGGATCACTGACTGACCTGCTCCACTGCCTCGAGAAACCTCCGGCTCGTCTTCATCCAATGAAGTTGCGGGGCTTGATGGGGTCACACACCTAGGGGCGGCTTTGCTCTGCTGCTCTGATGTGCGGTTCTGATGGGTTCAATTGAATCACTGACTGACCTGCTCCACTGCTTCGAGAAACTCCAGCTCGTCCTCATCCAATGCCCTGGGTGGGCCTGATGGGGGACACAGCATTACAGAGCACAGCACCGCACACCACCGCGAAGCACAGCACAGAAGAGCACAGCACCACGCCACCGCATCCCATGGCACAGTCAAACACCAAAACGTGGCAAGCATGAGAACAATGGATTTGAACGAGCAAACTGGCACTCGTCCATTTCACGAAAGCAGTCAAGCAAATAGGCATGCTTGATACGCTACACTTAGACATACTAATTGTGCTGGCATACTATCGTTGTCGAGGCCACCCTACTCTCCTTCCGAACCAACTGGCTTACGGTTTTTGAATTTCTCCTTGTGCTCCGCTTCTTTCTTCTCTTTCTGCTCTTTCAGAATCTGGAAGAAGTACAACGAACGAAAAAATCGACCAACAAAACAATAAAGAATATCGCAAACAAACACAGATAAACTAACAATTCCAAACGACGGTTTGCCAAACAGTAGCAACAGATACACTGCTTTCAGCAAGTGCAATCACCAGCCCTAATGCTATCACCTTAAATCAGCACAGCCATACCTTGTATATAAATGGCACGTCCACCGACCCATAATCATCCTACCCTTGCAGCACCATCAAGAACTGTACCGTTATAATACTATCCATCCTCATCATCACACCACCATTACAGTGCCATCATCATACCGCGTACAGGGGCCCATCGTTACAGTGCCATCCTTCCCCAAGAGTGCCATCCTCACATCTCGTTACGGTACCATCACCTTTACATCTCGTTACAATGCCATCGCCATACCTCATACAGGGGCTTGTCCACTGTTACAGTGCCATCCTCCACCCTCTCCCCTCTCAGCCGCTTGTTCTCCTCCAACTGGCCCATTGTGACACAAGGGGGGTGTGACAAAATCGGGGGTGCGGTGCAGAGTGGGGCCGTGGCACGCGGGGTGAGATAGAATGGGGATGTGACAAAAACGGGAGTGTGACAAGCTGGGGGGTGTGCAACAAAGGAGGGACAGATAGAATGAGGGAGCGAGAGAGGGAGGAGGTGCGGCGAAGGAGGGAGAGGGGGGGGAGGAGGGGGGGGGGAGGGGAGGGGGAGGGGAGGGGGGTGGGGGGGGGAAGGGAGGGGGAAAGAGGAGAGTGGGGAGGGGGACGTGGGGAGGTGAAAAAAAAACGGAGGTGTGATCAAATCATACAGAATGGAGAGCATCATCGAGACTCCAAGGCATCAAGGAACGGAGAAGGCTTAAACTATCGATTGTCACCATCAGCTGGAGCGACTCATACGGTGTCTAGCTGACGGGTGGACCAAGAGCGGGTAGTGTTGTGTAAATCATATCAAGCATCGCTGTGCTTATAGCTCTTATAGCTCAAGATAAGCTTTACTAATTTACCAACCTGCGTTTCGGATATGAAATTCATCTTCTGAGCGGTAACGGCGAAGCAGTCGTACGGCTTCTAATAACAGGTGTTCGCGAAAGTAAACAGAGTCGTTGCAGAAGATCAAGCGAGGAATCTTTTCGAGCGAACGCAGCTTCTGCGTGGTGTTGTTGCCGGCGCCAAATGCGCCGCAGTGACTTTTAAGTTGACTCAAAAGTCAACTTGTTGGTGCAGGCGCCAAGTGCGCAGCAGTGCTTGAAACAAGAAACGCACTACATATGTTTCTACGCGCTTCGAAAATAGATGCCAGATGCGCTGGGTGACCGACGCGCTGGTGCCTAAAAAGTGCTGGCACCTAAAGCGCAGCAGGCGTCTCAAGCGAGAAACGCGGAGAGCCTGAATTGGCCAGCAGCGCGTGATGAGCTGCTAGCGTCACAACTGCTGGTCGAGAAACGCGCCGAGCGACTGGACGCGGGGATGCGCTGGTGTGTGTGACCTTGAGCGGAAAATGCGCTGACGGCAAGAAGTCCTGGTCACACTTGAGCGACGGAACTGAAGCCGCGTTTCGACATTAGGAAACTAGGAACCAGGCAACTAGATAGCTAGGCACATGACTAGGAAATAGCCGTGCTGAATCTTTTTATGTGCTGCGCCACTGCAAATACAAGCCTGTGCTTCAGTTGATCTCTGAAACAAAGCACATCTATATCTCCCTTTCACCTTATATGTACAGCATTGTAAGCATATCCAGGTCTTTGTGAGTTAGTATTGGGAGTGACAGATTAATGAGGAAACCAGGTATGGATATTATTTTAAAAAGAAACTATATTGGTAATTGGAAGCATTTAGGGGTATTTTCAAGATATAATCCATCCACTTCTACATGAAACTTTTATTTCAGAACAGAGCACGGTGTATAAAAGGAAGGGCATATTGCGTGTAACAGAGCAGGCAGAATTGATGAGTCTTTGTCTGTCGTTCTGCTTTGTTGATATTCTTGCACGTGCTTACCTTGGACTACGGAATTCAAGCTGTATCTGATTGGCTCCAAACTGCTGACGTAATCTCGAATCTCCAAAAACCACGCCAGGATAAGCAGAACATGTTATGGGCAGCATCTCGTCCCGTCGTCGTCCAATAGAAGCCAATTCTGCTCAGAAGTTGACGCCGCAAACCACATAACCATTCGTCGCATGTGCTTCGTGAACACCACCCAGCAAGTCTAAACGCTTCGAGCGAAAGTCAACACATTCTTCTCGTCCACTGGTTACTGTTCTCACCTCGTGGATTCGCCAAGCTGCTAGTGATTCCACCGACACTCTGACGAAATCTGGCGACACATTCTTCTTTCGCAGCATCTCCTTCAGCCGCCATGAACTAATTACAGTTCCACAGTAGAATGCTGGGATAGCTCAAGCGACTTAGCTCCCTAGCTTCCCTAACTTTATAGCTTTGAATCGTCATTTGTCCAATGCAAGCACACGCTCGATAGCTTCCCGCATTTCCAAGCCTGACGAGTCTCTCCTTGTAACCAAGTCGTACTCAGGTCTCTGGTGAAGCCATCAAGGCTGAAAGCGAGTTAGCGCGTAACTGTCACACCAAAATGAGCCTAATCAACGGCCGAAACCGTGCTCTCGCGGGTTTGCGAAACCGTCTCCGAATCGACCCGCGAATCTTTTCCGTCTATAACCAGACCACCGTCCGTCCCGTCAACAATTATCTCTTTTCTTTGACAGATTCTGTTACTCATTTCTCCTCCGATGTTGCCACCAGCAATTTCATAAGTGGTGGATATGCCGAAGAAAACGTTCTAACTCGTTCGCTCAGAGCCGCTTACGCTGCCTCCGTCTCTGCCGTCGGTATTACCGGGTACCGCCGCAGTAACATTTCAAGTCAAACCTCGCGCTGCCAATTTTCCACTTTCGATGGCGCTAACTATGCTACGAGCCGCGTGAATGAGCAGTCTCGTGTGTCTCATATTAACGACCATTTCTACACCTACCATCAGCGCCGTCTCTATTATAATAGTAGACATAGTACGGAGTACTATAGTAGGCACCGCGACCGGCACCACGACCCGGAAGACCATTCCAATCATCCGCACCTCTACGCGCATTCCCCGCGCCCCTTGCACCGCGCGCCCGCGCTTCCGCGAAGCTTCCCCGCGTCCGCCTTCGACCATTTGTCCGCGCCCGCCGTGGTTTGCGGCGGGCGTAAAACGTCTTTCCGCGACCTCCTCGCGCACTCCGCCCGGCTCGCGCGCGAGTTCCGGAAGCGCTTGCCACGTGTCGACGCGGAGAAGCAGGGGCGCGCGGAAGCAGAGGCACGCGCGGAGCAGCAGCTGCAGGATGGGGAAGCGGCGGAGGCGGCGGAAGGCCCGCGGATTGCGATTTTTGGGCGGCCGGGGACGGACTATGTGGCGGCGATGTGGGCGGCGTGGGCGGCGGGCGGAGTGGCGGTTCCGCTGTGCGAAAGCTACCCTCCAGAGGAGCTACTATACGTCCTTAAAGACTCGGTAAGGACACACACTAAGGTGGTTGTTAGGCGTGCTGAGAGAACCACTCCCGCTCTCACTTGCAACCCTCCACCCTCCATGCAATCGCCACCTATCCATGCAATGGCCACCTATCCATGCAATGGCCACCTATCCATGCAATGGCCACCTATCCATGCAATGGCCACCTATCCATGCAATGGCCACCTATCCATGCAATGGCCACCTATCCATGCAATGGCCACCTATCCATGCAATGGCCACCTATCCATGCAATGGCCACCTATCCATGCAATGGCCACCTATCCATTCCTCCGCTCCGCCCCCCACTCCCACACCTCCCCCTCTCCAGCTTCCTTCCTCTCCCCCCTTCCCCCCCTCCGCCCGCCATCCCGCTCATCTCAGGGCGCTTGTTTGATTGTGGGGCCGGAGGCCTGCCGCCCAGTTTTGGCACCGCTGGCAGCGGAAGCGGCGGCGGCGTTTGTCCCATCTGACCCGCTGGAGGGCAAAGAATTGGAGGAGAGGGATGCGGATGAGGAGAAGGCGGGGATAGAAGCCTTGAAGAACGTTCCCTTCTCGCATGCAGGTGGGTGCTGTGGGGTGCTATGGGGTGCTGTGGGGTGTTGTGGGGTGCTGTGGGGTGCTGTGGGGTGCTGAGGGGTGCCGTGGGGTGCTGTGGGGTGCTGTGAGCATTCCGCATTTGCATCCGCATGCAGGTGGGTGCTGTGGGGTGCTGTGGGGTGCTGTGGTGTGCTGTGGGGTGCTGAGGGGTGCCGTGGGGTGCTGTGGGGTGTTGTGGGGTGCCGTGGGGTGCTGTGGGGTGCTGTGAGCATTCCGCATTTGCATCATACGTGCTCGCATCTGACCCGCTGGAGGGTAAAAAATTAGAGGAGAGGAATGCGGATGAGGAGAAGGCGGGCATCGAAGCCTTGAAGAACGTGCCCTTCTCGCATGCAGGTGGGTGCTGTGGGGTGCTGTGGGGTGCTGTGGATTGAAGTCTTGAAGAACGTACCCTTCTTACATGCAGGTGGGGTGCGGTATGATTCTGTGGGGTGCCGAGGGGTGCTGTGTGGTGCTGTGTTAGGTGGGGGGATGAGATGGGTAGGGCTGTGGGCTTGTGTGTTAGAAAGAACGTGCCTTTCTCGCATAAGAGAGGCTATTGACCCACCCCCTCTTCCCCCTCTCCTCTCCCCCCTCTTCCCTCCCTCTCCCCCATCTTTTCTCCCTCTTTCCCCCTCGCTTTTCTCTCAACCATCTTTACACAATCCCCCACTCCTCTCCCTAATCCCTCCTCTCATCCCCGTTATCAGCTGCCCTGATAGTGTACACGAGTGGCACCACGGGTCGACCCAAGGGAGTGGTGCACTCACATATAGGCCTCGCCTCCCAAGTAAGCCCAGAGCAAGTCCTCTGCTCACACGGTAAGTGCTCTGAGAAACCTTTTGAGGTGTCACGAAAATCGTTTTTGTAGGTAAAAGAGCAAGTCCTCTGTCCACATGGTAAGCGCTTTAAGCGCTTGAGATGCCTTGCAAGGAAAATCTTTCTGAAATTCATCATCTCTGTTTTCACCTGAAGCAATTCACCTGATAGTTCTCCGATACCAGAAATTCTCAAGGCAAACGAAGGAAAACCATTCTAAATGCGCGTGGGACTTCCTTTTCTGCACCATATCTGCTGAACTTAATGCTACCGGCTGTCCATTCCCCCCTCTTGTCGCCTTCTTCCCCCCCCCTTTTCCTCCGCAGGCCGGCATGCTGGTGGACGCGTGGGACTTCTCCCCCTCGGACCGAGTGCTCAACGTGTTGCCGCTGCACCATATCCGCCCACACGCACCTTTCCATCCCCTCTTTCTCCTGCCGCACCGCCTCCATTGCCCTTGCACTTTCTCCACCTGTCTCATACTCCTCTATCCCTTCTCTACTTGTGTTGCCGCTGCACCATATCCGCCCACGCGCACCTTTCCATCCCCTCTTTCTCCTGCCACGCACCGCCTCCATTGCCCTTGCCCTTTCTCCACCTGTCTCATACTCCTCTATCCCTTCTCTACTTGTGCTGCCTCTGCACCATATCCGCCCACGTGCACCTTTCCATCCCCTCTTTCTCCTGCCACGCACCGCCTCCCTTGCCCTTGCCCTTTCTCCACCTGTCTCATACTCCTCTATCCCTTCTCTACTTGTGCTGCCGCTGCACCATATCCACCCATCCACACTTCCCCCTGCTTCTCTCTCCCTGCCACGCACCACCTCCCTTGCCCTTTCCCTTACACCTCACAACAAGGTTGCCTTTCTGTATGGCACATGTGAATGAACTCCAATTCTTAATCTTGAAGGTTTTCTCTCCTTGTTCTGGGTTGCCTTGTAAGGAGGTTTGCCTTTATTGAACTGCATGCATTGCAGCATTGTTTTTCCTTAACGGTCATCCCCCACCCCCTCCCTCTCCTCTCCTCTACCCCCTCCCCCTTCCCTCTTCCTGCACACTTGCCAATATCCACTCTCATTTCTGCCACTCTCTCTTCTCTTCTCCCTCATCCCCCTTCCACGCGTTTATTCTTCCTTCCCCCCCCTTCTTCTTCTTCCTCCACTCTCTCTATTTCCTCACTTTCCTCCATGCGTACGTTGAAACGTTTAAATAACCCTGCTGCCCCTCCTTGTGTTCTGGCGGCTGTCACCCCGAGCACATGTGCATGGCATCATGAACGCTCTGCTGAGCCCTCTCTCTGCTGGTGCCACGGTGAGAGTGTGTGTGTGTGTGCAAGCACATGTGCTTGCATAGTCATGCATCCTTGGCCACTCATAGCCCATGTCATCTCAACCACAAGGGCATGGCATCATGAATGCTTTGTTGAGCCCTCTCTCTGCTGGCGCCAAGGTAAGCGTTCACACATCCATGTATTTACGCTGCTGGCACTGCTCCGCTTCTCTGCTGCCGCCGCCGCCTCCGCCGCCGCCGCCGCTGCTGCTGCTGCTGCTGCTGCTGCTGCTGCTGCTGCTGCTGCTGCGCTGGTGTGTTGTGTTCTGGTGGGGGTCACCCCGAGCACACATGCACAGCATCATACTATTACCACCTGCCTCTACCCCCCATTCTGAGGATTCTCCAAACATGCATGCATCATGGCACCCCCCTCTTACCCCCCTTCCCTCCCCTTGCTCGCTCCCATTCCCACACATGTTGAGTGCCTCCCCAGCCATCGCTTCAGCGCAGCAGCCGTGTGGCAGCGGTGGCGGGAGAGAGGGAGGGGTGCATGCGTTGTTGCATTACTGCTCTACACTCCACCCCCTTGCGCATCCCTTCAGGCCCCCTTGCTCCCTTTCCCACACAGGTCGAGTTCCTCCCAAGCCACCGCTTCAGCGCAGCAGCCGTGTGGCAGCGGTGGAGAGAAAGCTACCCCGACGGGAGTGCTGTTGTCATAACACGACCACCCTCTCTGCCTCTCCCTCTTTCTCGCCCCGTGCTCCCATCCTTTTCTGGTAGAGTTCCCCCCATCCCCTTGCCCCGCAAAAGTTCCTCCCAAGCCATCGCTTGGGAAACAAAAAAGGTGAACAAAGCAATGATCACAAACAACAAAATCTAAAGCTACGAGCACTGAGAGATTCGAACTCTCGCGGGCAGAGCCCATGTACTTAGCAGGCACACGCCTTAACCACTCGGCCAAATGCTCTTATATGCTACAGCTAGCGCTTTTTACCAATTAGAGCGATGGAGAGAGAGAGCAATTCCGGGGGGAGTGTATGCCATTACACACCACCTCCCTCTACCCCCCCTCCTTTTCCCCTCAGGTCGAGCTCCTCCCAAGCCACCGCTTCAGCGCAGCACCCATGTGGCAGCGGTGGAAGGAGAGAGGGGTGCATGTGTCACTGCATCACTGCTCTCCACCGCTTCACACCCTTGCTCCCTTCCCTCCCAGGCCGAGTTTCTCCCCAGCCACCGCTTCAGCGCAGCAGCCGTGTGGCAGCGGTGGCGAGAGAGCTACCCCGACGGGAGGTGCGCTGCGCGCAGCCAGACTCCATCACATTCTTCACCGGGGTGCCAACCAAGCCAAGCCACTACGTGCGGCTGCTGCAGGAGTGCATGCCACTTTCTCGCCCCTTCCTCCCGTCCCTCCCAGGTCGAGCTCCTCCCCAACCATCGCTTCAGTGCAGCGGCTGTGTGGCAGCGCTGGCGAGAAAGGAGAGCTACCCCGACGGGAGTACATGTCACCTCACCATCTCTCCCTACTGGCATGTCATTACATCACCCCTCCTTACCCCCGTGCAAACCCCTCCTCTCTCCCTTTCTCCTAGGTCGAGTTCCTCCCCAACCATCGCTTCAGCGCAGCAGCAGTGTGGCAGCGCTGGCGGGAGAGAGGGGCGCATGTGCCGTTGCATCACCGCTCTCCACCCCCTTGCACACCCCTTCACGCCCCTTTCTCCCATCACTTTCAGGTCGAGTTCCTCCCCAACCACCGCTTCAGCGCAGCAGCCGTGTGGCAGCGGTGGCGAGAAAGCTACCCCGATGGTCGCTGCACCATCACGTAACCTTTTCACTGCACCCTCCCTCACCTCACTCTCCTCTCGCAGGTCGAGTTTTTCCCCAGCCACCACTTCAGCACAGCAGCCGTGTGGCAGCGGTGGAGAGAGAGCTACCCCGATGGGAGCACATGCCACCTCGCCACCTCTTCCCACCTCTTCCCACCTCTTCCCACTGGCTCTAACCCCTTCTATCGCGCCCCATGCCCCCGTCACAGGTCGAATTCCTCCCCAACCATCGCTTCAGCGCAGCAGCCGTGTGGCAGCGGTGGCGAGAAAGCTACCCCGACGGCCGGTGCGCCCAGCCCGACTCCATCACCTTCTTCACCGGGGTACCAACCCACTACATGCGCCTGCTACAGGAGTGCATGTCATCAGCACTCCCCCGAGCCCTTCTTTCACACCCATTGCTCCCATCCCTTTCAGGTCGAGTTCTTCCCCAGCCATCGCTTCAGCGCAGCAGCCGTGTGGCAACGATGGCGAGAAAGCTACCCCGATGGTCGCTGTGCCCAGCCTGACTCAATCACCTTCTTCACCGGGGTACCAACCCACTACATGCGCCTGCTACAGGAGTTTGACCGCATGCCCCTGCAGCTGCAGAGAAAATCTGCTCTGGCCGCCAGCAAGCTGCGACTCATGGTGAGTCGGGGACTTGAATGTGTTGGGAGCGGTGGAGGGAAAGCTACCCTGACAGTTGCTGCGCCCAGCCCGACTCAATCACCTTCTTCACCGGGGTACCAACCCACTACATGCGCCTGCTACAAGAGTTTGACCACACGCCACATCATTCTCCTCTCCTCCCGTGTTTCACTCACCCATAGAATACCTTCCTGCCTTTTGAGAATTCTCAAACTCACCCATAGAATACCTTCCTGCCTTTTGAGAATTCTCAAACTCACCCATAGAATACCTTCCTGCCTTTTGAGAATTCTCAAACTCACCCATAGAATACCTTCCTGCCTTTTGAGAATTCTCAAACTCACCCATAGAATATCTTCCTGCCTTTTGAGAATTCTCAAACTCACCCATAGAATACCTTGCTGCCTGCACCACTGATACCCCTACCTGCCCTCATCATCAGATGAGCGGCTTTGCTTCATGCCCGAACGAGCTCATGCAGCGATGACGGAGCCAGTTGATAAAATGTGGTTTTTGGGACGTCTCAAAAGCTCATGCGGCGATGACGGCGCCAGGTCTCTCGAAAGGCATTGCTCTCCTCCCGTGTGGCATTGAGGTCGTTTTTGAGGCGCCTCAAAAACGACCTCTCTCGAAAGGCACCGCTCTCCTCCCGGGTGGCAATCAACTGTGATACCCCTGCGTGCCTGCACCCCTGCGTGCCTGCACCCCTGCGTGCCTGCACCCCTGCATGCCTGCACCCTTGATGCCCTTACTTTTCTTCGCCATCAGATGTCTGGCTCTGCCGCGTGCCCTGATGAGCTCATGCGGTGATGGCACCAGGTCACTGATAGCGCATCGCTCCCCTCTCCTCCCCTATGTCACTCACCCGTGATGCCCCTGTCTGCCCTCACTATCCTCAGATGAGCGGCTTTGCTTCATGCCCGGACGAGCTCATGCAGCGATGACGGAGCCAGTTGATAAAATGTGGTTTTTGGGACGTCTCAAAAGCTCGTGCGGCGATGACACCAAGTCACGGGGTAGCAAAGGCCGCAGCAGCAACACTGCAACACAGCTTCCCTTCCCCCTTCCTCCCGTACCATCAGATGAGCGGCTCTGCCGCGTGCCCCGACGAGCTCATGCGGCGATGGCACCAGGTCACGGGGCAGAGGCTGCTGGAGCGATATGGGATGACCGAGGTGAGGGGGCGAGGTGAGGGGTGAAAGAGATATGGGATGACAGAGGTGAGTCAGTTGGGGAGGGCTGTGAGGCGAGGTGGAGAGCATGCCTCCAATACCTCTTTATGTCGTTCTCTCTTTTTGTTTCTTTTCCCCGCTCCCACCCTTCCCTCGTCTCCTTGTTGCTCCTCCTCCTCCCGTCACTACAGTTCGCAATGGCACTCACCAATTCCCTGCTGGGAGCGAGTATGCATGCCCTTACCTTCCACTCTTGCTCCCCTCCTCTCCTCTCCTCGCTTCCCCTCACCTCCCATTGCTTCCCAACCTATCTCTCCAGTTCGCCATGGCCCTAACCAATCCTCTGCTGGGAGAGAAGAAGTCAGGATCGGTGGGCATGCTGATGGGAATAAGTCTCTCACCATCCCTCTGTCACCTCCGCCCCTCCTCCCATCTCTGCAGTTCGCCATGGCCCTAACCAATCCTCTGCTGGGAGAGAAGAAGTCAGGATCGGTGGGCATGCTGATGGGAATAAGTCTCTCACCATCCCTCTGCCACCTCCGCCCCTCCTCCCATCTCTCCAGTTCGCAATGGCCCTCACCAATCCGTTGCTGGGAGAGAAGAAATCAGGCTCAGTGGGCGTGCCACTCAGAGGGGTTAAGGTGAGCATATAAAGTTGGTCTGACAGCGATAAATGTGGTCAACTGTGGTCAACGTTTGTCAGCTGTGGTCAAACGTGGTCAAATGTGGTCAAATGTGGTGAGCCTTGGCCAATTGCAGTCAACAAAACGCCCTCCGTACCTCTCTTCATGTGAAAGTAGAGAGAGACAGCAGCCGTGTGTTGACACGTCTCTTTGCCTTTTGAGGCGCCTCAAAAGTCGCCTCCGTACCTCCCTTCATGTGAAAGTAGAAGGCACAGCAATCATGTGTTGAAACGTCTCTTTGCCCTTCCCTTCTGCTTATCAGGTGAAACTAGCAGACACTGCGAAGGATCTGCACAGCAGCAGCAGCAGCAGCAGCAGCAGCAGCACTGGCACTGCACGAGCCATGCTGGGTCACTTGTCTGCTCCCGGGGCATTCAGCAGCAGCGGCAGCACTGGCAGCAGCAGTGGTGGTCGCAGCAGTGTTGTCAGCAGCAGTGGCAGCAGCAGCAATGGTGGCACGTGGAGCGGGGGGTGGGGAGAGCTACTGGTGAAAAGCCCTGGCATGTTCCTGCGATACTGGAACCGACCTCAGGTGGGTTGAGTTGAGTGCATGGTGTGTGTATAGTGGTGTGTTGAGTTGAGTAGCCGTGCCAGCAACAGCAGTGCTGGCAACAGCAGCACATGCAGTGGGGGTTGGGGAGAGCTGCTGGTGAAGACTCCTGGCATGTTTCTGCGATACTGGAACCGACTCCAGGTGCGACGAGTGCATGCAGTGTTGTTAGAAGAGACCCAATATGTGTTGTTGATTGCACATGGAAGGCAGTTCCAGCGCGTGGGCTGGGGGGTGGGGAGAGCTGCTGGTGAAGAGCCCTGGCATGGTCCTGCGATACTGGAACCGACCCCAGGTGGGCTGAGCTGAATGCATGGTGTGTGTTCTTGTAATGGTGGCATGAGTAAGGAAGGAGCAGCACCAGTCCCAGCAGCAGCAGCAGCAGTGGGATGTGGAGTGGGGGGTGGGGAGAGCTACTGGTGAAGAGCCCTGGCATGGTCCTGCGATACTGGAACCGACCCAAGGTGTGTTGAGTGCATGGTGTGAGTGGTGAGTGCATTATCACTCATTTCCTCCCATTCCATCTCATTACCGCTCATCGCCTCTCATTCCCTCCCATTCCCTCTCATTCCCTCCCATTCCCTCCCATTCCCTCTCATTGCCTCTCATTCCCTCCCATTCCCTCTCATTCCCTCTCATTGCCTCTCATTCCCTCCCATTCCCTCCCATTCCCTCTCATTGCCTCTCATTCCCTCCCATTCCCTCTCATTCCCTCTCATTGCCTCTCATTCCCTCTCATTGCCTCTCATTCCCTCCCATTCCCTCTCATTCCCTCTCATTGCCTCTCATTCCCTCCCATTCCCTCTCATTCCCTCTCATTGCCTCTCATTCCCTCTCATTGCCTCTCATTCCCTCCCATTCCCTCTCATTCCCTCTCATTCCCTCTCATTCCCTCCCATTCCCTCTCATTCCCTCTCATTGCCTCTCATTCCCTCTCATTGCCTCTCATTCCCTCCCATTCCCTCTCATTCCCTCTCATTGCCTCTCATTCCCTCCCATTCCCTCTCATTCCCTCTCATTGCCTCTCATTCCCTCCCATTCCCTCTCATTCCCTCTCATTGCCTCTCATTCCCTCTCATTGCCTCTCATTCCCTCCCATTCCCTCTCATTCCCTCTCATTGCCTCTCATTCCCTCCCATTCCCTCTCATTCCCTCTCATTGCCTCTCATTCCCTCCCATTCCCTCTCATTCCCTCTCATTGCCTCTCATTCCCTCTCATTGCCTCTCATTCCCTCCCATTCCCTCTCATTCCCTCTCATTGCCTCTCATTCCCTCCCATTCCCTCTCATTCCCTCTCATTGCCTCTCATTCCCTCCCATTCCCTCTCATTCCCTTTCATGGCCTCTCATTCCCTCTCATTGCCTCTCATTCCCTCCCATTCCCTCTCATTCCCTCTCATTGCCTCTCATTCCCTCCCATTCCCTCTCATTCCCTCTCATTGCCTCTCATTCCCTCTCATTGCCTCTCATTCCCTCCCATTCCCTCTCATTCCCTCTCATTGCCTCTCATTCCCTCCCATTCCCTCTCATTCCCTCTCATTCCCTCTCATTCCCTCTCATTGCCTCTCATTCCCTCTCATTGCCTCTCATTCCCTCCCATTCCCTCTCATTCCCTCTCATTGCCTCTCATTCCCTCCCATTCCCTCTCATTCCCTCTCATTGCCTCTCATTCCCTCCCATTCCCTCTCATTCCCTCTCATTGCCTCTCATTCCCTCTCATTGCCTCTCATTCCCTCCCATTCCCTCTCATTCCCTCTCATTGCCTCTCATTCCCTCCCATTCCCTCTCATTCCCTCTCATTGCCTCTCATTCCCTCTCATTGCCTCTCATTCCCTCTCATTGCCTCTCATTCCCTCTCATTGCCTCTCATTCCCTCCCATTCCCTCTCATTCCCTCTCATTGCCTCTCATTCCCTCCCATTCCCTCTCATTCCCTCTCATTGCCTCTCATTCCCTCCCATTCCCTCTCATTCCCTCTCATTGCCTCTCATTCCCTCCCATTCCCTCTCATTCCCTCTCATTGCCTCTCATTCCCTCCCATTCCCTCTCATTCCCTCTCATTGCCTCTCATTGCCTCCCATTCCCTCTCATTCCCTCCCATTCCCTCTCATTCCCTCTCATTCCCTCTCATTCCCTCTCATTGCCTCTCATTCCCTCTCATTGCCTCTCATTCCCTCCCATTCCCTCTCATTCCCTCTCATTGCCTCTCATTCCCTCCCATTCCCTCTCATTCCCTCTCATTGCCTCTCATTCCCTCCCATTCCCTCTCATTCCCTCTCATTGCCTCTCATTCCCTCTCATTGCCTCTCATTCCCTCCCATTCCCTCTCATTCCCTCTCATTGCCTCTCATTCCCTCCCATTCCCTCTCATTCCCTCTCATTGCCTCTCATTCCCTCCCATTCCCTCTCATTCCCTCTCATTGCCTCTCATTCCCTCTCATTGCCTCTCATTCCCTCCCATTCCCTCTCATTCCCTCTCATTGCCTCTCATTCCCTCCCATTCCCTCTCATTCCCTCTCATTGCCTCTCATTCCCTCTCATTGCCTCTCATTCCCTCTCATTGCCTCTCATTCCCTCTCATTGCCTCTCATTCCCTCCCATTCCCTCTCATTCCCTCTCATTGCCTCTCATTCCCTCCCATTCCCTCTCATTCCCTCTCATTGCCTCTCATTCCCTCCCATTCCCTCTCATTCCCTCTCATTGCCTCTCATTCCCTCTCATTGCCTCTCATTCCCTCTCATTGCCTCTCATTCCCTCTCATTGCCTCTCATTCCCTCCCATTCCCTCTCATTCCCTCTCGTTGCCTCTCATTCCCTCCCATTCCCTCTCATTCCCTCTCATTGCCTCTCATTCCCTCCCATTCCCTCTCATTCCCTCTCATTGCCTCTCATTCCCTCCCATTCCCTCTCATTCCCTCTCATTGCCTCTCATTCCCTCCCATTCCCTCTCATTCCCTCTCATTGCCTCTCATTGCCTCCCATTCCCTCCCATTCCCTCCCATTCCCTCTCATTCCCTCTCATTGCCTCTCATTCCCTCTCATTGCCTCTCATTCCCTCTCATTGCCTCTCATTCCCTCTCATTGCCTCTCATTCCCTCCCATTCCCTCTCATTCCCTCTCATTGCCTCTCATTCCCTCCCATTCCCTCTCATTCCCTCTCATTGCCTCTCATTCCCTCCCATTCCCTCTCATTCCCTCTCATTGCCTCTCATTCCCTCCCATTCCCTCTCATTCCCTCTCATTGCCTCTCATTGCCTCCCATTCCCTCCCATTCCCTCCCATTCCCTCTCATTCCCTCTCATTGCCTCTCATTCCCTCTCATTGCCTCTCATTCCCTCTCATTGCCTCCCATTCCCTCCCATTCCCTCCCATTCCCTCTAATTCCCTCTCACTGCCCCCACCCTCCCAGGAAACAACAGAGGCGTTCGATCCACAGGGGTGGTTCCGCATGGGTGCTTTTTCCCCCCCCCTTTCCGTCACCCTTCTTGCTCCCATTCCCGCTCATTCCCGCTCATTACCTCTCAACGCCTTCCATTACCTCTCAACGCCTGTCATTGCTCAGGAGACAGCAGAGGCGTTTGACCCACAGGGGTGGTTCCGCATTGGTGCCCGCCCCCTCACCTTTCCTTCGCCCTTCTCGCTCCCATTCCTGAGCATTGCCTCTCATTACCTCTCATTACCTCTCATTACCTCTCATTACCTCTCAACGCCTGTCATTGCTCAGGAGACAGCAGAGGCGTTTGACCCACAGGGGTGGTTCCGGACGGGCGATATTGCATCGGTGGACAGCCATGGGTACTGGCAGATCCACGGCAGTGAGTGTTGTTTCACCATGTGTGCCGTACTTATATGTGCAGTACATATGTGTCGGTGTGTCATTTACGTGTCTGGGCCTGTGATATTGCACCAGTGGACAGCCATGGGTACTGGCATATCCATGGGAGTGGAGTGGGTAGTCGCATGGGAAGAATGTATGTTGCGTACGCAATGTGTGCGTGGGTGCATGAGCGTGTGAGTGCGTGGGTGAATGTATATTGCATCGGTGCACAGCAATGGGTTTTGGCAGAGCATGGGAGTGAGTACTGTTGTCTAGCATGTTTGTAGCGTGCACGTGTGTATTATTTATGTGCATGGTATGCTCGTGTGACACGTGTCGATTATGTGTGTGCATGTGTGCATGTGTGCATGCACTTTCTCTCTCAATGGAGCACGTGGTGGTCGATGCAACGTTTGAGTCGACTCAATATGTAAGTCACCACCACCTATGCGGAACCTCGTTCTGATCTGATTATTTTCACACTCACCACCTCTCTGGTGGATGCATTATTTCCTTATCTCACTCCGTTCCCCATCCCCCCTCCCCCACACTCCCCTCTCTCAGGGGCGAGTGTGGACATAATCAAAACGAGGGGCTTCAAAGTTTCTGCGCTGGAGATTGAGTCAAAGCTGCTGGAGGTGAGAGATGTGGGGAAGGGTGATGAGCGGTGATGGGAGGTGATGAACGGTGATGGGAGGTGATGAGCGGCGAAGATGCTTTCCAATGGGTGGTGATGAGGGATGATGATTGGTGATGAGGGGTGATGGGGCGAGTGTGGACATAATTCAAGACGAGCGGCAAGATTTTCACGGGCAAGGCAAGACGAGCAGCACGAGCGGCAAGATTTTCAGCATAAGCAGTGATGAGCGGTGATGAGCGGTGATGGGTGGGTTTTGCACTTGAGATAGAATCGAACCTGCTGGAGGTGAGAAGTGGGGAAGGGGGATGGGAAAGGGTGATGAGCGGTAAGGAGTGGTGATGGGCTGTGATTAGCAGTGGCATGTAATCCCCTTTATTGATTGTTTTTTCCTCTTTCTCTCCGCCCTGCCCTTCCCCTCCTCCCCCTCCCAGCATCCTCTCATATCCGAGGCAGCAGTGTTGGGAGTGCAGGAAAGGCAGCAGGGAGAGGCAGTGGCGGCAGTGGTGGTGCTGGGAGCAGCACAGCAGCAGAATCACCATCTGTCAATCACCCTATCTCCCCTTTTCCCCTCCCAGCATCCTCTCATATCCGAGGCAGCAGTGTTGGGAGTACCGGAGAGGCAGCAGGGAGAGGCAGTGGCGGCAGTGGTGGTGCTGGGAGCAGCACAGCAGCAGCACCAGCAGCAGGGCGTTACTGGGGAAAGTGTTGCTTACACCTGCGAAAATGCATGCCCTGTGATCACTCTGGACGAGCTGAGGAAATGGGCAGCCCCCCGCATGGCTCACTATAAGGTGCGCTGCTGGTGTGTGCTGCTGCTGTGTGCTGCTGCTGTGTGCTGCTGCTGCGCGCTGCTGCTGTGTGCTGCTGTCATGCCATGCTCACTAGACCCTGGCAGTAGGGAGGCAGCGCCTGGCAAGGATGCTGCCATCACTCAGGACGCACCCATTTTCCCTGTTTCCCCCCCTAATTGACCAGGTGCCATCTCGCCTGAGGGTGGTTGTCACCATGCCACACCATGCCACACCATGCCACACCATGCCAGGCCATTCCATGCATCTCCCCTGTTTTCCCCCCTAACCGACCAGGTGCCATCTCGTCTGAGAGTCGTTGCCACCATGCCTTGCAACGCCATGGGGAAGGTGAGACGGCAAGAGGAGCATGACACGCATTCTGAACCACCATCACATGCACCATCCACCACTCGCTATGCACCTTCTGCATGTCACACAATGCCATGCACAAGGTGAGACAACAATAGGAGCATGCCATGCAGCATGCCATGCAACATCATGGCATCGCCACCACCCATCTCCTCGCATTGCATATTCATCTGTCATTTTCAGGCATGGCAGGTGAACAAGAAGGGATCTCCTGAAGAACCTTTTTGCCCCCATGCAGCAGTCATGACTCCCCTGACTTGCTTATGTACATTAGTCCAGCATCGCATCACAAAAATCTGTCTCCTCACATTGCATATCCATCCCTCATCCCCCTCGTCTCTGGCGTGGCTGGATGGCAGGTGAACAAGAAGGATCTCCTGAAGAACCTTTTTGCCCCCATGCAGCAGTCATGACTCCTCACAATTCCTCATTGCATACAAAGAATATTTTGCTTACATTTTTTTGTTTTGTGCCTCACATCTCTAAACTCTGTCTTGTCTCCATTGAATGGCCTTGTAAAGTAGGCAATACCGGTAGCTTGTACCAAGATACAGATGTTACGAAATGGACTGTGAAGTGCACTGTTGCGCATTTTCAACCAAAGCCTCCACAATACCGGTATGGTAAGTTGTGCTACGGACGGACATTCAAATGCATAATCAGATTTCTCTGACAAAAAACAACTGTACCATACAGTTACATATTATACACAGCAGCACTCGGCAGGTTTTCGCAGCATCAGCAGTGGCAGCGCCAGCAGTCATGGTGAGAAAGAGTCCGCCTAGTAACCACTGGTTCAGTCAACCAACCCCTCTTGACGTCTCAACTCAAAAGGTCCCAACCGCAGCAGCAGCATTGCCAGCAGCCGTGGTGAGAGAGAGTCTGCCTCGAAACCACTGGTTGAGCCGACCAACCCCCCCTGACACGCTCCTCCCGAGTCCCATACCATGCCATGCTTCAATGCGGCGCCCCAACTGCTAGTGCTACAGAAGCAGTCAGCAGGTTTCAGCAGCAGCCATAGTCCCCCCTGACACGCTCCTCCTGAGTCCCATACCATGCTTCAGCGCTGCAGGAGGTAACACTCAGCAGGTCTCGGCAGCAGCAGCAGCAGCATTCCCAGTAGCACAGGCGAGGGCGCGTCCACCCAGGAACCACTGGTTGAGCCGACCAACCCCCCCTGACACGCTCCTCATGAATCCCATACCATGCTTCTGTGGTGCTGAGCCCTTCCCACCTGCTACTGAAGCATTCCCAGAGGCGTCAGAAGCAGCAGCAGCAGAAGCAGAAGCAGAAGCAGCAGCAGCAGAAGCAGAAGCAGAAGCAGAAGCAGCAGCAGCAGCAGAAGCGGCAGCACCGATAGTGGCGCACTCGCCGGCACCAGTGGTAGATGTGTGGCTACTGGCAGGAGTGACCTGAGTGGAGCAACTGCCACTTTTGGCAGCCTTTCCATTTTTGGCACATTTTCCATTTTGGGCACATGTGGCAGCAGCAGGAGCAGCGGCACTGGAACCATAGAGGGAAGGCGGAAGGTCAGTGTCGGAGTGCTGTTTCTTGAGGAACCGAGGTTGGGACTGCTGTGGTTGTGCAGTAAACGAGGCTGCTTGTACAGTGAACGGTGGTGCAGATTCCGACGATTCTGCAGATAGTGCAGATACTGTAGAAAGTGTGCGTACTGTAGATGTTGCGGATACTGTACTTGGCGTGCATACTGTAGATATTGTAGATGCCAGGGTGTCTAGGGATGCTCTGCGAGGGTTGGAGGAGTAGCAGAGAACCGCCATCTGCAAGGTGAAGAGGGATACAGAGGAGTTCCATTCAATTTGTATGTGCCTCATACATAAACAGGGAAAATAAATGCAGCAGCCTCAGAGAGAAAGAAAAATTTGTATGCACTTTACACGGATGAGTCCTCACCTCGACACTCAAGGCGCTGTCTTCTTCCCACGTGGAATCCTCTATGGCTGTAGCAGCATCTGCTACATCCGAGCGCGTCTGTCGCAGCCTTAGAGGGGAGCAGGCCTGCTGTTGCTGCAGCCAGATGGCATCCTCGTCCACCCGAAGGCTGTAGCGGCCACGGCTACAGCCGTTGGTGTCACTCCCGCAGTCTAGGCTGTAGCGGCCACTGCTATGACCCTCTGTTACAACGCTGCTGTAGCTGCTGCCGCTAATTCGCCCATGGTTTCTCCAACTGGTATTGTTGCTCCAGCTGCCACTGCTGCTGCAGCTGCAATGATAGTCGCCCCAGGGGCTGTAGCTGCTGCTGCCGTCCCATCCTTGGTTCATTCCATTGGTATTGCCGCCGTTGCCAGTGCTACAGTCGCCCCAGTGGCTGTAGCTGCTGCTGTCACGTCCTTGGTTCCTCCCACTGGTGCCAGTGCACGTGCTGCTGCCGCCAACACCACCACTGCTACAGTCGCCCCAGGGGCTGTAGCTGGTGCTGTCGTTGTAACTCCTGCTTGCACCAGCGCTGCTGATGGCACCGATTGCCATGCTGCTGTGGCTGCGACGGAGCGTGGCTGTAGGCGGCATCCGAGTCAATTTCTGAGGCGCAAGTGTACTCCTCCAGTCTGAAGCAGCAGCACCAGCAGCAGCAGCAGCAGCAGCAGCAGCAGGAGTAGCAGCAGGAGTAGCAGCAACACCGGCAGCAGCACCGGTAGCAGCAGTAGCGCCTACCATGGTGCAACTGTGGCTGCGTTGGAGCATGGCTTGAGGCGCTACTTCCATTATCCGGCGAGTCCAATCCGAGGCTCGGTTCGCGGAAGGTTCGAAACCCGCAGTTTCCTTCTTCTGAGACTGCTCCGATTCAAGAACCCGCTCAGTACCCACGTCAGCACGTGACGTGTAGGATTCCGTGTCAGAGTCGAGCCAAGCCGCGACCGGGTCAGCCGTTGGCGAGTCACCACCGTCGCCCGCGGCGAGAGCTCCGACTTCGCAGCCTCTTGCGGCGCGACGTGGCAGTTCGGCGGATGATGGCACCAACGCCGAGCCGCCGCGCAGCCGCGGTTTGAAGTCGTTGACTTGAGTTGACTCGGCGGAGATCGTGTCGTCGCCGCTGGCCTGCCAGCTCAGCGCGGCGGCATGGAGCGTCCAGCTGGCATCACGGGAACCATCCAGCGGCGAATCAGGCGAAGCATCGGAACCGTCCGCGACGCGACGGCGATCAATCGAAAAAAGCAAACCGTTGTCGCGATCGTGGCTTCGAAGCGCCTCGGAGGAAAAGTACGGTTCTTGAGGCGCCTCGCTGGAAGCATCACCCGGGGCGCCGGCGGCGGCGGCAATAAGGTAGTAGGTCTTAGCCGGATCGAGAATCGAATCGGAGGATACGGTGGAGAGCGGCGTAAAGGGCCGCGCCGCCGGGTCTGACGCCGCGGAATGCGGTGGATTGGTGGAGAGGAGATGGTGGGGGAAGTCTGCGAGGACGCGGCGCGCGGAAATTCCGGCGAAAATGTCAGCATTGGGGCTCGAATCGCAGCCGGATGGAGTTCCGTCGGGGAGAAATAGACGGAGGGAACCGTCGGGCAGGACGACGATGACGGAACAGTTTCCGTCCATGATGGGCGATCGCGGACGTCGAGGCGGTAATCAAGGGTGTCAAACAGAGCCAAAGGGAGTCCTCTCAAAATTGAAAGGAAAAGCAAGGGGTCGGGGTTACGCAGAACGTCGGACGTTCGAAACGATGACCAGAAGATGCCCACGATTCGGCGGATGTTTGTTTTGGGAAGTAGGACAGAAAAGAAGCTCTCTATTTAGCAACAGCCGCAGTGAGGAAGGTGTCAATAAGCACGGACCGAGATGATGAGGGTGTGGTGTGGAGCGGCGCAAGAGATGTCAGCTTCTAAATGGGCGAATCAAGTGGCATGATGAAGATCAGGTGCGAGGACTACGAATCGGGTGTAATTTGGAGCCGACGTTTCGAAACCCCCCTCGTGTGAGCCAGGTCTCGGGACCATCGACGAATCGTAGCAGTAAGGACGGACGGACACCCTAAAACGCGGCGGGCGCGGTGCGGCATCTGCGGAAGGACGGCGACTCACAGCACATTAATTCACAACATCCAAGGACGGACGCTACTACTGTATTCAACATGCGCACGGAGGGCTGGGTGGGATCGAGTGCAGTGCAGGTCACGCAAGGAAGTCTTCAAGGGACGGTTTGAACTGAGCTGCCGCCATTGTGCGCTTTTGTATGGAGTGCAGTGGACACCAGAGTGACTTACTTGCCACACAGACTTGAATGCACGGGGAATGAAAGAGCTTTGGCAGACAGCTTGCATTGATGGCGGCAGTGGAGATTGGAAAACGGAGGGTTCAGGATGTCGGTCGACGGGACGACAGTGATTTCGGACTTGACATAGGAGTTTCTGTTCTCAACATTAGTCGTGTCGTGACGTGTGTGTTTACCTTCATGGGTTGTTGTGTGGTGAAGGGATGATGGGATCATAGAAGAAAGGACGGAAGAGGAGAGAGGGAGGGAGTCTTCACTTCATTCCATGGCATGAACTGTTGGCATTGCGACGTGCATTACTGGGCACTGGGCAGTCCCCCGATTACTGTACAATATCAGCCAAGTGTGAATTTACGAGGCGCTTCCGAATTTGGCACCAATTGCGACGCGTGCGAGATGTGGATGGTTGATCCAGCTGACGCACAGGTCGTGCGATCTGACGCGCTGACCCTTCAAAAAAGCTAAGGGCGAGCGTCCTACGAAACGATTGGAGTAAAAAGCATTCAGTCACTGAAGAAAGCACAGGCGTTTGCTCCTATTCGTGTAGTAATTGTGTGGAGAAACCGGAATGTGAGAAACCGAAAGTCAATCGATTTGTTTGTACACCCTGTTTCGCGCTAGCAGAGCATCTGGTTGCAGAACATGCACAGGTTGTAGAACGTCACCACGTTTGAAATGGTCTTATCACCGACGGTACAAGCACATTCACAAGAAAGCGGTTAGCTAGGATGCTGCATGGTAAAGAACATTAACCAAGCGTTTCAAAGCGGTTAGAAAGGGTAAACAGCGATAAAGAAAATTTTTGCCCCCAGTACCACTCCGTCAGCTGGTGCGGCTTTGCCCGCAGGTTTCAGCCATACGGTATATGGCACCTGACCGCACTGTAGCAGCGAATCGCGCAAGGTGAGAGGGTCGAGAAACAGGGTGTAGCGTCGGTGCGCTTATGATGAACAAAATATGAACAGTTCTAGGTTGATTTGACATCGGAGCGCGGAAGATTTGACATCGAACCGCGCAATCCAATGCGTCAGTGCGCTGGAAGTTTCATAATTTGAGGCACATTTTGTGAGAGAATTACCGCGGCACGGGGTTGGGCATCTGGAATTTTTTCTTATAGCGTGCCAATCTTGTTATACCCCATTGCGACGCAAATCCACCTTTTGTCCCGCGCGTCCTGCGGTGCCGTCAT